GCCCTCCCCTTTCTCTCTTACAAGGCAATAATAAAGAACCCAGAGCAAGAGCCAAGGCAAGTCAAGGCAAGGTAGAAAACCAGCACATCAAACAAAAACCATTGTGAAGGCATTATATTCTGTAATACTACATGTATATGAAACCACCCAGAAGCAATACAGACCTGTTTTCTCTCTCCTTTAATATTGCAACAGGATCCAGTCCTGTAGGTTTAGGAACTGGAGCAAGCTGAGGCTTAGACACTTGTAACTGAGGTTGGGTTTTACGYTGCTGTTGTTGTATCTGCTGCTGTGCTAATGCCTGTCTTTGCTGTTCTTTTAATTTTTGTTGCTGGTTTGCAGCTGCAATGGCACTTGCTGCAGCTCCTTTAGCTGCAGCCATTGAAGCTGCAGCAATAGTTGGCTGGCTTGTGGTATTACTGCCTGATTTATTAAGGCTTGCTTGAAGCTTTTGAGCTGTAAATGGTAAGAYGTTTAAGTGAGAGGTGAGAGGTGAAGTGACCAGTGATAAATTGCTGGTAGTCACCTATTGAAACCCCAGGTTTTATAAACAAAATTAATGGGAAACTTACATGACGCCATTCCAGGCACATTATAAGCTGTCTGGTTAGGTGCAACACTAGTGTTAGGCAAACTAGCATTACTAGTAAGAGGACCTGMTGCTTGCTGGTTTGTGGCAGGACTCTGAGAAGCTACTTGAGCTGTATTGGAGGGTGCAATGCTGCTCGGCAGATTACTACTAGGCATGGGCATCTTRGGGTTTTGTTTCCCTAACATAGCTATCTTGACATGGTCAGGGAGTGGCTGATTCCTAGATATCAGTTTGTAAGCCATGATCTGAGCTCTTAGTTGCATCAGCTGTTGGGAATTGAATTCTTTGACTGTGTCTTTTGGGGGTACTCTTGAAGTGTTGTCTGGGATATTTGAAGGTCCTTGTAACCCAGTGGATCCCATATCCCCRTGGTGCATGGGTGGCACCCCTGATGGCATATTTCCCATTCCATAGGTGTTATCCTGCATGTCCATCATTGGTGGTCTGCCTTGCAGRATGTTGTACAACTGGTTGTAGCGAGGATCATTCTCCAAGCCTTTTTCTTGCATGGCTTGTAAAGCCTAACAAATGAGGAATTTAATTATAAAAGTAAATACTTTGCAGCAATACACCAAATCAAAATATAGCAAACAATTTGAATAACTATTGTTCTGCACTGACAAACGTTGGACTAGCCTCATGTTTACAAGGAAACATAAAAATGTTTACATGTCTGCACTGACAAACGTTGGACTAGCCTCATGTTTACAAGGAAACATAAAAATGTTTACATGTATAAGAAGATGGTCAGTTGCTAGTCAGAGCAGAACAATAGATACAAATTGGTTGACATATTTCGATTCTGTTTATGTGAGCCAAAATGAGAAATTAATGTATTTGCATGAGTTTATGATGGTAAGAACAATAAATTCCAACATCTTGGTTTAAAGTATGGAAGTAGAATGAAAACTGAGAATACACTAAGTTTGAAACTTTACACTCAATTGCAAAATAYTTGTCAGTTTCATAAACATAGAACATAGAAGCTTAGACTAAAATGGTACATAGAAAGTATGTTAATGAGTAGACTTTCGCAAAGTTCTTCATCTCCATATTAGTTCACACTCCCTAAGTAAAGCACAAGACCCCTAGCCAGGATCAGAAACGCTTCATAAATGACTTTTTCCAACTTGTTTTCCACTAATGTTAGAGACCCAAGATGGGTTGCTGAATTATGCTTACACTTGAGGTGCTCTTTATCAACGTATAAAAAATTTAGTGCTTCAGAAGTGCACAGCAAGTCGCACTGCAAGATACTGTAAACAAGTCAACCTCTCTTGACTTTGGTCTCATGTTTTTCTCACTTGCTTTGCTCATTACTCTGTAAGTCTCAGAGAGGTAAGCTTAGAGCAAATTTAGTTAATGAGATGCATCTAGTGATATGACTTGAATGTCATAAATTGTTGCACTGATAAAGGATGGAATATCGATTGTATTTCAAACACATCAGAGGATTTAATTCTGTCAAGTTCTACCCAGCATAACTTTTAGTCTCAGCTTCTACAGTATGTTCTATGTTTTCAACTAACACTAATTTTGCAATTGATTGTTTTAGATTGAATAACATATTGTTACAACACACTTGATAATAAGGCAACTGATAGGTATATTTAGAAATTGAATTCATTGCTAACACCATTGCCCAACCCATACTTCCCATACATTGCTATTTCACCATACCTTCTCCAATCGCTGTACATTTTCAGGTGTGTACTGGAAWCCAGGCATTGGTTTCATCATGATTGACAGCTGTCTGTCAATAACGGGGGGGAAATGASCAACAATTTAGTTCTGTTCATTGATGGCAAAAATAATAAAATTTACAAATTGACCATATAAAATTTATTATCTAGCATTTTCCTTCAGCAAAATAAAACATATCAACCAAATAATAATTATGTAGCCATGGTATCACTAATAGACTCAATTTGTTGTTCAGCAGAGATAAGGAAAGAAGCTAAACTTGATAATTATTCAAAGGTTTCATTCATACAAATGTGTACCCGTCTCCGAGTGTTTACTAGTCAACCTAATCCATAAAAATGTGAATAAGTAAAATAATTTTATCACAAAGAACGTTTTGATGTAGAAAAATTCAATTTTGCGAAGAATGAAACGAGAGTTTTCAAACGCTCATAAGCGCGTGTTTGAATCTTCCTCCAAAATGGAGACAAAAGACCTCGTGAAAAACGCAGATAATATCATCAAATACACCMATAAACAAGGCAAACAATGTAGGAATATGTGCAAAAGGCTACTTTTTTATCTTTTCGCTACTATAGTTCTTACCTTGTAGTAAATAAATCGAATACAACAGTAAATATAAAACACTTTTAACAGACGGCGAGAGCCGCCATTACTGTCCCTTCGACCTGACTCAAAAACTGCCTCGCTTTCGATGAACCAATGTTATCCCGAGGGGTGAAGTGTAAGAAAAACCACTTCCAAATTTTTACCACAGCTTTTCACGAAGATAGTTCGGCTTTTTAGTAGAAGTTTTCTTCAATTAAATATGATGATTTAAAAATAAAGAAAGCTAGATTAAAATAATTAATAAAATTTTGAAAAAAAAACTGCCGAAACCCGGGATTGTTCAGAGTTCCTACGAACTCTCCGGTTTGAACCAGGGACCTTCAGATCTTCAGTCTGACGCTCTCCCAACTGAGCTATTTCGGCAGGCATAAATAAATTCCTACTAAATATCAGGCCCATTCCAAAGCCCTTTATTGTTACCTACCGGCAACGCGAAAAGTCGAAGCTATGTTTATAACACAAATCGGGGTAATTATAACACCAAGCGGGGTAAGTATTCGTGTTTTTACTGTTTCACAGAAATCTTTAAAAGTATTGCTAACTAGCAACATGGCGTCAATAGGGACAACTTTAAATACGGGGAGGCTGTAGTAAAAAGGCTCTCGTTTGTAACACTGAGTCCGAAATGTGGAATTGTCAGTCTTCCTCCCTTCCCACAAGAAAACGAAACACCGGGTTTCTTGGCCGCGAAATAATTCCACTGAAGCCTGCGCAGCATAGCAGTCTGCGGCTGTCACTCATAATGAAATAACCACATACTTCTCTTCTATCATTTCTTATTCGACATTCTTACCAAAAATAAGAATCGAAAAAAATGGGAAATGAAAGGCATTTACCATATTAGATATTACCAATTCTCGTGCACAGTCCCTTTCAAAAAAAAATAAAATCGGTTCTTCGATTTTTCAGTACGTTAGAAAGCTGTGAAGGGTTTGGGTACGAGTATTACCTTGGAGTGACGTCGTTCCTCGCGCACGTATTTACCATATTTGGTATTTCTTGAAGATGACGTCATATTTAGAATAACACGTCACAAACACTCGCGGGGATTTAAGTTATTTACGGAAACTTTCCAAACCATTTCAAACCACGATTTGAAGATGATACACATATTAATACTAAGCCTTATTTTTGCTTCTTATTTCGGGATAGAATACCTTGTAGACTACGTGATATTTCCACACTACACCAGGAGCTTTCATACAGGTAAACATCATACGATACTAGCATCGATTTGATACTGGAAATGGCGAATTTGCACGCCATTCCCGCTGTATGTCTACAGTCAGTTTTAGTTTACGATAATTATTTAATGATTTGATTTCTTTGCAGAACAAGTTAAACTTCTGGAGGTACATACCTTCGTACACGAGTTTGTTCCAAACGGTAAGAAGACAGTTTATTACTAAGCTGTACCAGACACTTACAGTTTGATCAGGAAAACTCCTTCTTTATCACATCTAATATGAAATGTGGATATATCTTTTACCACCAAGACAAGTAAAATGAGTTTTATTTATTACTCTGACAGATACACAAGTAGTAAGTTACTTGAATCCATTACACGATGTCATTAACCAAACGTTCAGCACCATTGAAGCGGTTTTCAGCCCAGGTAGAACTTTATTTTAAATTGCATAACCACTTATAGGACACTGTTCACTTGCAAGTCATGGGTGAGGCAGAACGGTATGGAATCAGGAGTGATAGGAAGCCATGCCGATACGAACACAGTTTACTTGCAAGTCATGGGTGGGTTAGAAGGGTGTGTAACCAGGAGAAATAGGTAGCCATGGGATAGGACACTGTTCACTTGTAAGTAATGGGTGGGGTAGAAGGGTGTGGAATCAGGAGTGATAGGAAGCCATGGGATGGGACACTGTTCACTTACAATTCATGGGTGGGGTAGAAAGGTATGGAATCAGGAGTCACGTGTAGCCATAGGATAGGAAACTTTTAACTCTTTATACTATTAAAACTTTTGTTTGTTTTTATAGATCAAGTTATAGCCAACACCAGTGTAAATTCCACCACGGCACTAGCGATCTTTATCCCAAAAGATGATGCTGTCAATGTTCGGCGCCTCCTTTTTTATGTTCTTTCTTTTCTGCTCTTTGTTGATCTGCTCTGTATAGCTTACCGTCTTTGTTGGTGAGTAAATGGTGTAAACTTGACTGATGATCTCTTCAATGAAAATCAGATATGACAAATGTATGCATGTTATACGATTTTTAGCCAACGACAAGAACAGCAGCAACCTGTTTATCAAGAAGAGGAAATAATAGTGAACGGACGGTTCCGCCGAATAAGAAGAGAGAGCAACCAGATACCACGAGAAGAGAAAGAAGAGCAAATGGAAGGGATCATGTGAGTCAGTCAGTGGCAGTTGAATTGATTCCATCTTTAAACAACGATTACTTTAATCTAATCAGCTAAATTTAAATAATTATTTTTAAGTTTGCGCCGAGACATGGCTAATGGGAGGCCTTATTGGGTTAGAAGGATGGAAAACCAGATACCACGAGAAGAGAAAGAAGAACAAGGGGAAGGGCTGATGTGAGTATTTTCCGCCTTACTCTGTCTCTTCACAGAAAGCGCGCTTATTAAATTTAAAAAATAAATTAATACTCCTTTAATTTTAAAGTATGCTCAGAGTTGAAATTGATGGAAGACCTCGCTGGATAAGAACAAACAGCTTCCAATCCCGCCACAGAGAGGCAAGGTTGGCAGAGGCACGTGCACGTAGAGCAGAGAATGGGTTAGCGGAGGAAAGGCCGGCGATTCGAAGGATGGCACAGCCACGTGCACGGAGAGTTGAGGGACACGTGGCAGACGAAAGACCGGCTATTGAAAGGGTGGCACGGCCACGTGCACAAAGAGTAGAGGGAGGGGTGGCAGAGGAAAGGGAGGCGTAAGTATTGGCGGTTTTGTTTAGTTTTAGTTTGCATTCAAAAAAATAATCAAATGTCGTACTCTTTAATTTGAAGTTTGCACTGACGAACGACCGCGCTGGCTGCGGAATAAAAAGAGGGGCAACAAGAAAACAATAACAAAAGCTAGAGGACGAGGAACGCTGAGCGAAAAGTATGTTGCATCAGGAGATAAAGACAAAGAAGAAGAGTAAGTATATAAATGTGCAGTGTCTTTAAACATAACGGTTAAAAGCTAAAAATTAAATGTTCTTCTTATGAATTTAAAGCATCGTCTTGTGGATCAAGTAGAAGAAGGAGAAGAAGATTAAGAAGGGAAAAGTAGAAGCCAGAGCAAGTGGAGAAAGAACTGCAAGTTGTAGAAGATTTTCATTGTTTTCACAACAAATTGGGTCTTGTCATAATTAAAACATTATAGAACATGTTGAATCTTAGTTACAAGTCATTACAGCGAGGAGTAATGACATTCATATCTTTTGATTATCGCAACAGTATATTGCTAGAAGCTAAATAAAAAGTTGACCACATTTTGTATATTCTTGTAGAAGTTAAGGTATGTATGCTGCACGAAGCTTCGTCACAGACGGTAAACGTGATGGAGCATGCGCAATGACTAAGCATTCTGTTTGAACGAGTAATTATTTTTGACACTGCGATTGGTGGTTGACAAACGTTAGTTTGATAGGAGAGGATATGTTTGTTTCACGCTTGAACGAACGTGTCCATCACGGTACGGCTACCGGCTCCATAAGGTAAGCGGCTACTTGGTTTTCAGGCAGGCGTTCTTTCTCTCTCTATCTTTCCGCCACGCTCCCTCCCTTCCCTTTGCAATAATGACCAGAGGCAGTCAAACAACGCATATCACAGAGCAGTTTTCGTATAACCGTGAAAACCTTTGTGCCGTGTGCGTGCCTTTTTCACACGACCGTGATATTTCCCGAAATTTTGATTGGCTGATTTTTTTCTTCTCGTGCTGTAAGCAGTGCCGTGACCTTGACTTGACCGTGACTTCGCCGTGTTCATGCCGTATTTTCTTAATGTTATTAGTCTGGCGTATGCCTTGCCGTGTCACGACCGCGTTGGTGCCTTCACTTTCACTGCACAAGAAGGCAGAAAGGAAAAGTTATTAACCTGAGTAAACAGCAAAGGTTTTAGACAACGAGCCACAAAATGACGAAGAAATTAATATTTTTCGAATCTAATTTAAATTTACTAAAAACAAAGAAATTACTTAAAGTATATTATCCTTATCATCATCATCATCATCATTATTTAACAACTACGCATACACGACTTTCATAACTGGCTGCTGCTAATTTGCATAAACATTAAAAATCAATGTTCGGTTTTTGGAGTGAAAACCCTTTTAAATCATTGATCTTGTTGATTTAGATAAGGCGTGTGAGTTTCTACTTAAATTAATAAATCCTTTACAAGATGTGAGCATTTGAAGTTTTGAAAATGCACCAAAACGAGGCAACCAAGGCTTCCAGTGATAAATACGTACAAACTCTCTATTTTCGTTCTTTCATAACTTCTTTGGTATGCAGTCAAATTCTACAAAATTTTCTGGAAATAGTTTTCGTGAAGTATTTTCTCAGATAGTATTAATAGTTTCTGGTAAAAAGGCTTCATTTTCCCTATCTGAAAAAACTGAGTTATGAAAGTCGTCTATGAATACGTTAACTATAATATTTTCATTTATATTATTTGAAATTAATAAAAATAAAGAAATTACTTTACGTATATTATCCTTATCATCATCACCATTATTATTATTACTAACAATTACGCATGAATACGTAAACTACAATGTTTTCACTTTCGATTTAGCGATTACGCTTACAAATAAATCAGCGTCAGACAGATATACGTAGCTAACTATCCTTTTCTTGAGCTAATTGCGCTTACTAGACTAGTAGATTGCTTGAGTATGTACACCTTTGTTATTTAGAATCTGTAATCTTAAGGTTAGTTAGATAAATTAACTGATCAATTTACCACAAGTTACCAACACTCAAAACTGGAGAGTTGTAAAACTGGTAATAATAGATGTAACAATTCTAATAATCCTAAACGTAAACCATTATTGTAGATATTGCATAGCAATACAAACGTGATACAACTATAAAATATTCTAAATTAAGAATATGATACAAAAAAAGTTCAATGCCATATATAGCGTCGTCCTTCACTATTATAAACAGTTTATGCATAGCAACATTATTACAAATAAGAAAGAAATTGAAAATCGTCCAGTACTTTGGTTCACTGTAATCTTGGTTCTCTTTCTTTTCTCATACACTTATGGTGACATCATCACCAATAAGAAAGAAAGGAGTACAGTACTTTGGTTCACTGTAATCTTGGTTCTCTTTCTTTTCTCATACACTGATGGTGACATCATCATCAATAAGAAAGAAAGGAGTCCAGTACTTTGGTTCACTGTAATCTTGGTTCTCTCTCATTTCTCATAC